GTTTAAATGGATCCTCCAGGTTCAGAGGCAGTATACCTGTCAGCACAGTTGACGGAGAGCCCAATACCAGAGGAACACTGTTGCCTCCAGTTTATCATGGTCTGGAAACCATGCCCTATGAGAGGTGGCTTAGGGAGCTGGGTATGTTTGGCCTGTGTAGGAAAAGGTTAAGGGGTGACATAATAGCCAGATTTAAATATTGGAAAGGATGTCATATGGAGGATGGAGCAGGCTTGTTTTCTGCTGGGACTTGGAGCAATGGATGCAAACTATAGGAAAAGAGATTCCACCTAAAAATTAGGAAGAACCTCCTGACAGTAAGAGCTGATCAACCGTGGAACACATTGTGGTTTTGAAGGGTGGTGGGATCTCCTTCTTTGGAGGTCTTTAAACAGAAGCTGGATGGCCCTCTGTCGGGAGTGTTTTGACTGGGGGTTCCTGCATGGCAGAAGGGGGTTGGACTGGATGACCCTTGTGGTCTCTTCCAACTCTATGAATCTATGATCCTATGAAAAGAGATTCCACCTCAACATTAGGAAATCCTTCCTGACAGTAGGGGCTGTTTGATAGTGGAAGACTTTGCTGCCTGAAGTCTGGTGGAGTCACCTTCTTTGGTTGGAAGAATCTTAGGTTGGAAAAGACCACAACCTAAGTCCAATCCCACTTTCTGCCATGCAGGAATACAACAGTCCTGACAGATGGCCATCCAGCCTCTGCTTAAAAACCTCCAAAGAGGGAGACTCCACCACACAAACAAAGGCTGGATGGTCGGTCATCTGTCAGAGGTGCTTTGTTGTATTCCTGCATGGCAGAAGAGGGTTGGACTGGATGGCCCTTGGGGTCCCTTCCAGCTCTAGGATGCTGTGATTCCATGCAGAGCGTGTTGCCTCCAGGCCTCTCTGTATAATTAGGAAGTACAGCAAGCATAAGCCCACAAGGCAGGGTGTGAGTGTGTATGTGTGTCTGTCTGTGTGCCTCACTGGCCTGCCCAGGTTTGTCTGCCTTATAGAGATGGAGCTAGGACAGGCTGCAAATTTCAGAGTAAACAGCCAGCGCCTCTGGGCCCCTCCGAGGAGTCATTGCTCACAGACCCATGTGTCCAGATGTGCCAAAGTCCCCCTCCAGCCCGGGGGCTCAATCGATTCAATCGGGTGGGGCTGGGCTGTGTGGTGAGCAGTTCC